TTCCCTGGAGGGGATCTCAGACAGCTGAGGAGGTGGCACAGGGAAGGGCTGCAGGCGGGATCCTTCTGCACCCGAGGGTGGGGCCGCCAGTGATAACGGGCCCTTTTTTGTCCTCTTCTAGGAAGTCCTTCTACTCCGGCCACGCCTCCTTCGCCATGTACAGCATGACCTACCTGGTGGTAAGTGCCCCCGGCCAGCACCACCCACAGACCCCACTGATCATCCCAGAATCTCCTGCAGACACGCCCGCCCTACCCATCATGGGCCACGCCTGGTTCCCCGGGTTGGGGGTAGGGGGAGATCTTCTGGTCTGTGGAGCCTGGGTGCATGGCAGGGTCTTGCTGCAGAGCCGGGCAGGGGGAGGTCTCTGAGGAGCGGAGGGGGTGGGGGTCTCCCCACAGAGCCAGGCTGGAGGAAGTCACTGGAGGGCTAGGGGAAGTCACTGGGGCGTGGGGGGTCTCCCCACAGAGCCAGGCTGGAGGAAGTCACTGGAGGGCTAGGGGAAGTCACTGGGGCGTGGGGGGTCTCCCCACAGAGCCAGGCTGGAGGAAGTCACTGGAGGGCTAGGGGAAGTCACTGGGGCGTGGGGGGTCTCCCCACAGAGCCAGGCTGGAGGAAGTCACTGGAGGGCTAGGGGAAGTCACTGGGGCGTGGGGGGTCTCCCCACAGAGCCAGGCTGGAGGAAGTCACTGGAGGGCTAGGGGAAGTCACTGGGGCGTGGGGGGTCTCCCCACAGAGCCAGGCTGGAGGAAGTCACTGGAGGGCTAGGGGAAGTCACTGGGGCGTGGGGGGTCTCCCCACAGAGCCAGGCTGGAGGAAGTCACTGGAGGGCTAGGGGAAGTCACTGGGGCGTGGGGGGTCTCCCCACAGAGCCAGGCTGGAGGAAGTCACTGGAGGGCTAGGGGAAGTCACTGGGGCGTGGGGGGTCTCCCCACAGAGCCAGGCTGGAGGAAGTCACTGGAGGGCTAGGGGAAGTCACTGGGGGGTGGAAGGTCTCCCTGCATGGTGGGGGAGGTCTGGGGCCTGGCTGCCCCTCTTCACCCCATCCAGGGTCCCACCCCAGAGCCAGCGCAGCTCCTGCAATTGAGAACTCAGTGGGGAGTGGAGCCAAGTGCCCAGAATAACCCGGCAGACGGCCCCTGCGGGCCAGGTTCTTCCTGCCAAGGGCAGTTGTGAGGGTGGGGGCTGGATTTCCGTGCAGAGCCCTCGGGGCGCCAGGACTCCTGGGTTCTATTCCTGGCTCTGGGAGGGACGTGGCTCCTTGTGGCTTAGAGCCAGGGGGTGGGGGCTGCGAGTCAGGACTATCCCCAGCTGTGGGAGGGAGTGAGGTCTAGTGGTTAAAGCAAAGGGAGCTGGGTATCGGGACGCCTGGGTTCTCTGCCCAGTGGCCGGCGGGTGTACTGGCAGATGGGCGGTTCTGCGCCCAGCCCTTGAGCTGCCGACTGAGGTGCAGTCAATGCATGGCTGCCCTAGGTCCCATCCTTCGACTCTCCCGGGCTGGAGGGTAGCGCTGCCCAGTGGGCGAGTCGTGCCGGTCGGGCTCGCCCTCGGAGAGCTGGAGAGGTATTAACTCGCTGCTCCGCCTGCCTCGCCGGACTAGTCCAGGCCCCTCTCCATGCGGGCACACTGAGCCCAACAGAGGGGAACGCCCTGGCTCCCAGCCCCTTGCTCTAACCACTAGTCCCCACTGCCCGGTGCTGGAAATGGAACCCAGGCGTCCTGACCCTGCTCCCAGCCCGTCTCGCCCACTCCCCTCATTGCCTTTGCCTTTGCTCCCTGCACCCAACCCAGCTCCCGCCTCGTCCAAGTAGGTTAACTTCCCCCTGCTGTCAGTGCACCCGGATGGCTCTCACCCCCCCGCCCTCCCATGCCTGGGTCCGTGGTTGGCGATGGAGAAGGCTCCATTGTTCCCTTGGGGAGAGGCACAAATGGGTCCTTTGTGCGTCCCCGGCTGGCGGGCATGCATGGGTGGGGGCGGCGAGTTGGGAATGTATCTCAGGCAGGGGACTGCCCGTGGCCCCCCAGCTCCGACGCCCTGTGCCAGTGGGGGGCAGAAGGGGTGGGGCGGGCAGGGGGTGGAGGGGCAGGGATCAGAGCACATGGGGGGAGGGGATCTGCAGCATTGCGGGGGAGGGGACATGGGGGTGCCCCGCGCTCACCCCCCACCTCTCTCCAGTTCTACCTGCAGGCGCGGTTCACCTGGCGCGGTGCCCGGCTGCTGCGCCCCCTGGTGCAGTTTGTCCTGCTGCTTCTGGCCCTGTACACCGGGCTCACCCGCATCTCCGACTACCGGCACCACCCCTCCGACGTGGCCGTGGGCTTCCTGCAGGGGGCGCTCGTGGTAAGGCAGAGCCTCCCTCCCTGTCTGTCTGTCTGTCCCCGCTCCCCTCTGTCCGTCCAGCCAGGGCGGATGGGTGCTTGTCCAGCCCACATGCCGCCCGGCTCCAGTGAGTCGTGAGTCCGCGTCCCAGCCTGCCCCCGGCTCGGTCCATGGGCCTGCTGGGAGCCGTCAGGACTCCTGGCTCGTTCCCTGGCACTGGGGCCTAGGGGGTTAAGGCGCGAGCGGAGCAGGGTTCCGGGAGCCAGGAGGCCGGGGTTCTATTCTTAGCCCTGGCAGGGGCGCGGATTGCAGCAGCTGGAGTGGGGGAGTGGGGTGGTGTCTAGCCCTTAGAGCAAGAGGGCTCGGAGCCGGGTCGTCTGGGTCCTGTTTCCTGGGAGAGGAGGGGACTTGGTCAGAGCCGGCATCCGGGATGCGGTGGGCTGGGAGCTAGGTTTCCTGGGTTCTCCCCCCAGATTTGGGGGTGTGGGGGCCAGAACTCCTGGCTCAACCACTGACTCGTGCGAGCTTGAGCCGGTTGCTTTCCCTCTCCCAGTGGAGCTCTGACCTCCTTGGATGGCAAGCACTGGAGCTGGATCCGGGATTCTCCCCTCTGTTTTCCCCACCCCTGGCCTTGCACAGGGAGCTTGGGGGGGGAGGGTGTCTGTGAGCAGCCAGCTGAGGTGCTGAAGCATGGTCGCGTGCAGGGCTGGAGCGCGAGCTGAGAGGAAACAGCACAGGAAATGCCTCCGGCTTTAGCATTATAACAGGCAACAAGGAGGAAATCTTCCCTTGTCCCAGGGCTGCTGGCTTCCAGGATACCCTTCCCATGGGAGCCCAGGCACCTAGCTCCCCCCCACCCCCACAGCCCAGGGGGTATTTAGCACAGCAAACCCCACAGCCCCTGCGGGAGGTGTGAGCTTCCTTGTACCTATGGGGAAACTGAGGCAGGGAGGGAGGCATGGAATCTGGAATCCAACCGGTTGGGTGTCGAGTTTCCTGGGTTCTACCTCTAGCTCTGGGAGGGGGATTTGGTGGCGTTAGAGGAGTCCTGGGTCCTATTCCTGCCTTATGTATTGACTTGCCCTATAACCTCAGAGCCTGCCTCTGTTTCCCCTCCACCCAGCTGTGGGGAAAACGCCCCCTGCTCTGGGCAGCAGTGAGGCATGTGGAGGAGGGAGAGTCACATCCATGCGATCAGCTCCCTCCCCCCCCTTTTTTAACTCTCCCCCCTCTCCCCC